ATTTTCTTAAAATATCTTACCTCCTAGGATGTTACAACAATATTCTCAAAATTACCTCAACATCCACACATTAGTGAATAAAAAATAGAGCATTACAATCTTTTTTTCTTTACTTTCTTAAAGGCTTTTTTCTTTACTCATTCACCAAAATGTCTAGAATATCTTGAAATTTAAACAAGACTTTCAACTGCATGTACCATTTTTTCTAATTCTTGCTGTGAAGAACTAGCAAATTTAACGAAAAATCATCATTTGCGTTTGTTATTGTTGCAGTCACACCGATACCCAACTTTTTAGATTCATCAAAGTCCCTAATCACATAAGCTCTAAACACCACTATGATAAAAATAATCACCTTCTAAAAAACAAATAATATGAGAAGATACACAAAAAGTAATTCATTCGTCTAAAAACTTTCGCTCAATATTAGCTTCTATATCTTAAAAAAAGAGTTTCATGTTCAATGATTATCTAAATTAACTAAAAATTACTGACAACAATAATTATTTTAATAATAACCAATTTAGCTAACTCCTAATTTAAATTATTGAACATTGAATAGTCAAACGATTGGTTAAGTTTAAAAAAAATATATGGTGATTTTACACACAAAAATATACGTAAATCACAATCATTCTTTTAAGTCCATTGATATTGATGGAGGCAACAACGTATATGGGAAAGACATATATAAACGTAAGCTCATTGATTTTGATTAATTATACTAATGCGTTCGCGTTCGCTGACTTCCCCCTCTTGAGTATGTGCGATTGGTTTATATAATATATATTTTTATTTAATATCTTCAACTGGAAATATATATATATATATATATATATATATATATATATATATATATATATAATATTATATTCATCCCATCCATTAATTTTTCTGAATATCAACCATAAAGTTCTCTTTCTTTCTTCTTTAGACTAAACATCTCTATCATATGCCCCTTAGTTCCTCACCCCAAAAAAACACACACACCTTAGTCCTCTTTTAGACAATATTCCTCTAGTTGACTATCAAACTATTTATACTAATCTTGTCTAATAATTAATTATCTTACCAGTGATTACCATTCCATCCATTTTTATGATGAATTTATTAAAATTTAATAATTATATAAAAATAAAGACAAAAGTAAACGATAATAATTAATTTCTTTCAAACTTTCAAGAAAACATATAAATAAAAGTAAATTTTCTGCTACAACTTTATATATAAAAAAATGGAAATAATATCTATTATCACAGTTCATACTACTCTTCTTCCATTTTATGTATCTATTTTCAACGATACCACATAGATTAAAAAATAATAATTCATATTCTCATATGTTAAGTTATTTTTTATTTTTCAACATGGCTTTCGCTATCATTTCTTATTTATTTATAAATGTACAAAATGTTTAAAATTATATTCAAAATAAAATATATAAATAAAAAATAATAACTAAAACCAAATATCTTAGACTTTTAAAGCACAAACAAATAAGAAAATTTGTATTTATGACTTTTTTTAATGTTTACTTAATATTTGTCGAACACAAAAAGTGATATATGTAGCTTTAACTCAATTTTCAGCGAAAAGAAAAATCGTGGGTTTTATAGAAAGAAGTAAAAAAAAAATTATTAGAAATGAAATATTTGTTATTTACAAAATATTCAATATTTATTATTTAAGTAATTTAAATTATTTTAATAAAGTGTATTTAATATATATTCTCTGGATGCCCAAGGATACGTAATAGAGAATCTTACAATTTATTACTCATCCCAATTTCCTTTTGTTATCTAATTTTGAAAGAAAACTTTGTTCTCTTTTATTTACCCATTTAAAAGTTTATGCAGCATCGATTACCCCATTTATTTTTATTTGTGTATTTTAAAAAAATGTTATTTATTCATTCATGTAGAGATTTAAGACAATATTAATAATTTTAAAATTATATTTTGTTGTTACTTAATTATTTTTTTAGTGCCTTAATTTAAATTACATGTAATTATGGTTTTTTAAGTTTGTTTATCTAATGAAGTTTTTGTGTTTAAAATTAAGTGAATTCGGTCCCTTCATCAATTTTTTTCTACCTCAGTTCTTCAAATTCTATTTTCTATTCAGTTATTTTAGAAGTTAAGACGGATTTGAAATATGCTATAACTTAAATATATCAGAAATAAAATTTTAATTAAAAAAATTGATATTATTTGAAGGATTTTACAAGATGTAGGATTATAGTTTTAAAAGGAAAGCTTTTTATTTATTTGTTTATTTAAGTGGATTTTAATGTTTTGTTTGGTGAATTCTTAGTAAAAGGTTTAATACAATTCAACTCATTTAATTTATGAAAATTTTAAAGTAAAAATAATTTTAGGTAGAAAAATAGATTAAATAACTATAATTTTTTTTAACTTTAATAGTAAATTTTTTTATAAAAAATAATCAAATTATAATGAGGTAAGTTACATATATTCTTACACTGTCAATAATTTTATATAAAATATATTTTTATTGATTTAACTATTAAATTATAACTACATGTTATCTCAATTATCCGTGACAAAATTTGTTGAAATATAATAATGCAATTAAAAACATTTATTTTCATGTATTTTAAATGCGTATATCATTTTAAAATTTGATATTTAAAAAGAAATTATTAAATAATTTTAGATTATTCTAAAATTTTGTAGTCGATTAAAATTTTTATTCTAATAATTAATTAAATTTCTCAATTAAAAAATTATGTAAAAATAGATATAATTTACAGTAGTAACGTGCATATCCCAACTCCTCTTTTTCTGTAATGCAAATCTCCACATTTTAATGCTCCCCCTTTATAAGAAAAAAACTCAAAACTTTTCGTAAGTTGATTAAATACTTCTTTTGTACTACAAATAAGGATCATTCTAGGGTGTTATACACGTTTAAAGATTAGTTTGAAGAGGTTAATCTATGGGTTTGATGGAAAATCAATCAAATTGTTAGCTCAGATAATTGAATACATATTCGATTGGAAAGGACAGTGCATTAGCCACCAATAATAATAAAACAAATGTCGGTTAAGGAAAACTAAAAAAAAGAAACTTACGGACAGGTACTTGTGGCTCCTAGGAATTCAAAGGTATGGGTGATACAGTCAAAGATGCCAAGCTTGAATTTTCTTCATCATAAAATAAGATCTATAGACTTTGAAAGGGTTATTATCTAACAATGCTTCAAATGAAAACATGCCACATGAGAGATGTCGTCTTATATCCTTCTCAAAAATGATAACGAAAGGGAAAAGTATGGAAGATGGGGTTGATAATGGGATAGCAAAACGCCACAAGTGTTTCAGAGAGCACATGTTAAGTTTCAAATTCCCAATAAATGCACCACCAACCAAGACTTGCAAAGTCCTCCAAAATTATAACAAGCCCACACAACCAAACAAACAAACACACAAGAGGTCATCTCAACACCATGTTTTCTGCCTTTCTCACTTCCATCACTACCTCCCATCTTTTCTTTCCTTTCATCATCACAAGTCCCACTTCCTCCTCTCCCTTCACTTTCCATGTCCCCATTCACAACACTTGTGGACTCCTTCCAGTCAAAAAGGATAATTAAAATACTCAATATCACAAAGAGGAACCATCTTTGCATCATTGCTTTTTACGCTTCTTCAAACTTTCAATCCAAGACCCTCACTCAAAAGAATCGGGCCCTACTTCAAAGCAAAATCAAAATAAAATACAACACTTCTCTGTCTCTCACACTTGGTACCTTCTCTCCAACCTAAACTCACTAATAAGCTAGTTTGACTTCTGCTCCTTACACAACGCTGCCCCAATTTCAAGGTTCGTGAAAAGGATGTCAATTATCACATTAAAAATAAACATTTTCTTTTTATTTTTTTATGAAAATTCTGAGACCTTTTTATATACATATATTCTTTTTAACATGTTATTTGTACAGAATTCAATCGTTTATTGAAATAAAATTTTAATTTTAATTATAGATTAACACCAAATAACATTACTTGTATATCAAATATTTTTTGTGATAAAAGGAGGAAAAGTGTAACAACACACATGGTAAGGGTGAATATTATTTTCAACGTTTGCCAAGGAAACACAAGTTGTGGATCTACCATGTCCATGTCGCTGGGGTCTGCGGTGCTTTGGGAAGAGAGGCACAAAGTACGCAGTATAAAACCGGTGGATGCGTTCTACGCAAGCACATAGAATGCCTCAATGCCTGCATCTCTCGTTGGCACCTTCCCCTCACTCGGAAAGACAACAAAAAGGGTCAAGATTCCTTACCCATTCGTCTACTCTTTCTTTGACAGCTAACCCAACACTGCTTTTGCCATTGAGAACCAACGCATTCTCTCTCTCTCTCTCTCTCTCTCACTCACACATACTAGTTTCTTCCAAGTACTGCACTTAGGTGTAGCGTTTATTATTATTATTGCCCTCAAGTGGAAGCAACTGAATTGGATCACATAATTCGAATACGGCATTCATTAATGAAAGGATTTGACAGTGGGGGAAACGGAAGTAAATCCTCTGAACTACGCAGCGACCTTGCAGGAACCGCATTTTAAAACTAAAAAATTAAAAAGGACCAAGACCAAAGTTAGAAACTTTTTCTCTCATTAAATTCACGTACATCCAAATACCCTGATCGGCATGCCTCCTAATAATAATTGACCAATTTAATAGCGCGGTAAGTTAATTAAGATTCACATTTTCGAACCAAACTTGCTTTTTCCACAAGCTCAATAATTAGCCTTTAAAGAAACATAAAAAGAGTCAAATTTCCCTTCTTCCCTCTCCCCCTCTAATTAAAATTTCAACAAACAAAAAGAAAAAGGAAAAGGAAAAAAAATTACATACAGTCGAAGCAAGATTCTTCCATTCTCTTCATAAGCCATTACAAATTTATCTCTCTTGATGAATGCCATAAATATATTTATATGAGAATCTTACAGAAAATCTAAAGGAGGAAGGAAAGGGGAAAATTCAAGAAGAACCTGAAGAAGCTCTGGGGGAAGTTGTGGGGAAGAGAGGGAGCAAACGAGGCTCAGCATCTCTAGGAGTGGTTGCAGGTGACGGGTGCAAGAAGAAGCCCTTTTCTTTAATAGCTTTCTCTTCAGCCTCAGCGTCCAAAGGAGGGCTTCCATTCTCAACGGAACGGGATCGGTCAAAGGGGTCAGGAATGAGAGGAGTAACGGGGCTGAGAACAAGCGCGGGGAAGTCGAGGATGCTGGGAGACAACACTTCGGGTTTTCTGGGAGAGAAACCGCAAGTGTTGGTAGAAAAAACAGGTAAAAGAGGGTTGATGTTGAGGTTCTTGAGGGAGTTTCTTCGCTCGTAGAGTTTGAACCCTGATTGTTGCTGTTGCTGCTTCTTTGGGATGGTTTTCATCGGAGGGATGCTGTGACTCTTAGGCTCGGAGTTTGGTTTGGGGACGGAGGAGGCTTGTTTGGCTGTTTCGGTGGATCCGGTTAGCATTTGGACCACTTGCTTGAAGGAGGAGGTGTCGGCTTGGACGAAAGTTGTCGGGTACGGGTTTGCGGATTCGGATCTGGTTACGGGCTTTGGCGGGTATGGCGATGCTGTCACCGGGGGCAATTGTTGGGTGTGGTGGAGTCCATTGCTGCTGCTGCTGCTGCTGCTGCTGTTGTTGGAACTGTGGTGTGGTGATGGAAGAAGGGTCGCTGCGAGGTGCTCTTGGTACATTCTTGGGGATTTGGACTCCATAGTTGACTCGCTTCAGAGAAATGAAAAGAAAAGAAAAGAAACGAAACGTTGAGAGAAGAGAATATGAATATGAATATGAATATGAATAGGAATGAGATTAGAGCTTTGTTACTTTTGTTTGGTTTGGTAAGAAATGTATTCGTAGGGCCCTTCCTTTGTTCAGTCCAATCCCTACGCGCTATTTATGTTGTGTGCCACTCTGCACTGTGATCGACCACCAAGGAAACTTGTTTTAAACTCTCTCTTTTTTTTAATATATTTGTTATTTTCTTCTTTTCTTATAATTAATTATATGATTTTGTATTTGGATTCAAAAATAATAAATGCATCCATGTTTGGTAATTTCATCAAACAATTCTGTGAGATTCATTTTACACGTAAGATTATGGATTATGCTGCTGAACTTTGTAAATTGGACCACAACAGTTGCCACATTTAATTTCAAGTGTATTTTAAAAATGTGTAAAAAGAATATTTTTGTATATGCCAAGTTATTTTTTATGTTTAAATAATAAATTTTAAGGGTATCTGGTGCTAGGGTTTGGCTGATTTATTTTGACAATAATGACAATAAGATTGGTTAAATGCTGGATTGTGTATTTATTAAAAAGAAACAATGGCACACATGCATCACAACTGTATATTCTTTTCATACGTAAATGGAGACAAAAATCTTAAATGCTCATCCTCATACCAATCACTAAAAGAATTTATTGTTTCAAAATCTAATATAATATTTTTAAAATTAAATCAGATTTTTATTTACTAGACCATTTATTTTAATACATATATTATAAATCTACCTGCAAAAGTGTTTGTTTCTTTTTAAATAAATAATAATAATATTTTAAATTTGATTTCAATGACCTTAAGGTAAAAGATTATTTAATCGATTAAAATATAAAAATTTATTCATTTTGGATGAATTTTAGAATAATATTAAAATCAAAATAAGTACAAGAATATTTTCAGTTTAAATTAGGTCATTATTTTCATTTTTTATATTTATAAATTTAATTTTTATTATAAATAAATAAAATTTCATTAATTAAAGTATAACTAGAGCGTCATTTACACAAATTCTTTTAGCAACAATATATTTATTTAATAAATAACACTTATTAAATAAAAAGTCACATTTATAATAATTATAAAACACTAGAATTAAAATTTAATCTAAATTACAAATCATAAATTACAATAATGTCAATTTTTAATAAAATAAAATATATTTAGTAAAATGTACTTTGAATTAATATTTAAATGAGAATTGAATACAAATTAATATATTTGAAATTCGATCAAATTGATTTAGTTTTAAAGATGAAAATATAAAATTGAAACAAATTGTAAAATAATAATACAACTTTTATGTTAAAAATTTATCAAGTTTTCAATTTTTTTGAATTTGTTTAATAATTTATAATAGTTTGAATTTATTTTGAAAATCCTTTAAAATATTGGTTCGTTGTGAATTTTTTTAAAAATCCAATAGTCTTCTTCTCTTTAAATTGATTTACTCCACTCAACTTAAATTAATAGAGATTTGAGTGATTTGTGAGTGAAAATGGAGAATCTAAAATAACGCATAATGATAAATTTTAATGTTCTTGAGAATATAACTATAAATAGAATATTCATAATTTTTCATTACCATATTGTTAAAATATGTATTTAATTTGAAGATTAAATACTGCAAATACATTTCTTTTTACCTTATAAGGGTGCAATTAATTTTCAATGTATCTTGTAAAATTAATTAAGAAAAATGTCAATCATAATTTTTAAATTTAATTTTAAGTAATTAATAATAATGTAATTTTATTAAAAGTATTTATCATATTTTTATATTTCTAATATAACAAATTTAGGTAATAAAAGTATTTTTTAATACAGAAAATTAATTTAAAAAATTAAAGTTAATCAACTTTATTAAATGTGTAATTCTGGTAATATTTAAAATTAAACCGAATCATTTTTATATCGCTAAGTCAATAAAAAAATTGAAAACTAATTAAATTATTAAATTAAAAATCATATTTAATGTTGTAGTTTCGTTTAATTTTCAGTTTCCACAATTAAAATTGAAGCAAATTAAACTAAAACATAATTATAATATATTTATATTATTTTTTATTATATTTTATATAAAAATTATTACTTTTACTCAATTTTATCATGACATTATATATAATTCATTATTTATATTTATTTTAGACTAAGTTTTTTAATTTAATATTATTTATTTTTTATCAATAATTTGCTATTTTTATTAATTTATCAGTTTAATCGTGTGTGTGTGTATATATATATATATTCAATAAATTCAGTTCAAATTTAGAACTATTACTTATTTTAAATTTAAAATTAGATTAAAAATATAATAAGAAATAAAAATTAATTTAACAATGTGTCAATTTTTTTATACATTTATTATTCTAAAAAAAAAAACATTATGGTTTCCAAACAACTCAACCATCTTCATGATTATCGTTGACGATAATAACTCAAAAAGGGGTTCTCACAAAACTAATGATCGCATATTGCTTAATTTGGAAACTGTACATACTCCAAAAGTAATGCTCTAAAGTATAAATAATCATCACTCCCACCTGAAAAGGAAACTTTGCCAAAGAAAAAAAAAATTAATCAATCACATGTGTCTTTTAGGCAAACTAAGTGCACGCACAGTAATTTTATTCAAATCAATTGATTTACGTATTTGCTAAAAAGATAAAATTTATTAAAATAAGATAAAAACAATTTATTTTAATCAGTTATGTCAAAAAAGTTATTTTAAAAAATATAAAATCGTAAACTATTTTTATAAGTTACATAAACTTTTAAAATAAGCCCTTTGACTGAATAACATTAAAAATGTACAAAAATAAATTTTAGCTTTTGAATTTTTATATGAAAGTGCGTCCCTTTTATGAAATGTACTGCAAACACACTATAAAATTTTCAATTAAGAAATTTGTTGCTTTGAATAATCTATACTTTTCTTATAATTATTTATTTACACTCAAAAGAATACTAATGTTTTGTGAGAAGATTATTAAGTGAATTCAAATCTTTAGACAAAAAGCAATTAAAAAGGTATTAAAATAAAATCTGATAAGTTTAACTTTTAGAAAGGGACGAAATGTTACGTTTAAAATAAAAAGCTCCATCTTAAAAGGGTTGCAAAACAAAGGACATACTTGCCATGTCTAATAACAAAACAACTAGTCTTTTGTGTTAATTAAATGCGTAGTGTTCTTGTTAGGGAAACACTAGTCTTCAAGTCTCTGCTTGAATAGGATAACGTCCTTCCGTATCTTGCTGACGTTACTTGACGTAGGGAAGGTACATGCAAAAGACACTTTGATGCTGAAGTAAGGATTCGGTTCTGAGTAATAAATACTATTTTATATTGAAAAGTTCACCTATATTTGTACTTCTTATCTTCCTTTTATAGACATTGTTATGTGCTAATGAGTTTGTTGAGTGAGTCTTGGTTTTGTCCCTTTAATTAAATTAGATAATATTCTAATTATTACCCTTAATTAAATTAATTACCTTTTAATCTGATAAATGATATTCAGCTATATTAGACCGAAATGGTACTCGGTTACCTTTTCCTAGAGATAAGACTAAATAGTGCTTTATCCATTACACGTAGTTTTATATAAACCTATCATTTATAGAGAACTATAAGTTTCTCTTTCAAGGGTTTAAAAAAATTCCTTGAGTTATAAACTCTAAATAATGAAGAATTAACGACAGTTAAATTCCTCAAACTTCATTAATTTAGATAAGCTAGTGAAAAAAAAAAAACTTGAATAATTAGGTATAAACAACGGGTGTAATCAATTGAGATACGGTGAAATTTTTTATTTGTTGACGAAAGAATGGATATAACACTCTTAATTTTATAGATGCTTGTTAAACAATAATTTTCAAATTTGTTTTTAATTTTTATAAAAACTTTTGAAAATATTTTTAAAAGAAAGAGAAATTTAATTCATAATTTTTTTTATATATTTTTTATTTCTCTCTTTTTTCAATTGATAGAGTAAGGCACAAGTTTTTAGGCATAACAATATATATATGTTATTGGGTTAACACTTGAGACATTCAAGGAAATTTGTGTTGAGACAATGTCAAGGAATAGAAGTCTTATGAGGATGCTATTTGAAAAACTTTAAGCTCAAATTAACCTATTTGGCAAAGAAAAAAGTAAAAGGAATGAACTTTAACTCTTTGCTTAGAATAGAATAATGTGTATGTTCTTTGGATAAGTCATTAAGGCAGCGTTTAGTTGCGAGACAGAGACACAGAAGTACGTGTATCATGTTTGGCTAGTGTTTCGCTGGAGAGACAGAGATACAAAGGACACTGATGACACAAATTTGAAGAACACCAGTGTATTTCCTGAAAAAAAAAAAGAGAGACTAGTATCTTAGCTCCAGAGACACAAAGGATAAATTTGTAAAAACAAAAAGGGACACTAATATCTCTGTCCTTATTGTCTCAGTGTCTCTGTCTCCAGTGTACAGAAAGTGTAACCAAATGTTATCTAAGAGTTAGTTAAACTGTTTCCTTATATAATTACTGATTTATTTTATGCAAATAACCTATTATTAAGATAAAGGGATATGGAAACTGGTTTTTTGAGTTTGTGACATGTTTGGACAATGATTTTGTTATTGTTTCTTGATTTACAAAACACTTGGATTTTGATCCCGTGCGTGAACTCAATAATGTATTTTGATTTGCACAATGAGTTGCATCGATTTACAGCTTGTTGTATGACTTAGTGATTAATCTATGCTAGTCTTATGGCTTATATTCTTGTTGTAAATATCTAACTTTTCCTTGTTTTGTAGGTTCATGATAGCATGTCTTCAGTGGCTTGCTTTATATAATACTATGCATAAGATTAGTTAGAAAACTAATGTACCAAACTTTTACTGCATACATTTACATTCATTTAACGTCATTATAACAAATATAAATTGTAGGGACAAAAATATAATGGTAATTAATTTCATATAAAGATTAGAGGTTAAGATATTTTTTATGTACAAACTAATTCATAAATAAGTAATAGGTATAAAAATCAAATGATTAATATAAAATTATTCTTTCTTAGTACTTGTATAACTCATAATGCTAGTAAAATTGAAAGAAAATGCCTCATAACTTAATATAAGTAAACT